GCTCAGTTCTTCCTCTATATTCCGGCATCTGCTCTCCATACTGATCCTGCCCATCACGGTACAGGTGCACGACTTCAGAGTTCTGGGATCGTAACCATCCCACCTCCATGTTTTCAGCGCTCATCCTGGGGGAGAGGTGGCAGGGCAGGACTGCCTCCCCACCTAGGGAGGCAGTGACTGGATGGTCAGGTCCAGTCACTGTGAACTGTGCTGTGAAATGAGTCAGGGGAAAAAGAAAATTAAAGTGGAGAGGAACAAAGACACATAGGAATGTACGTGCAGCAGGATGCGTATTGCCAAGTCAGGCCCCCCACCCAAATCAGAAGTTTAAAAATAAAGTGTTTTTTTTTAATCATAAAATTGGGGGTGTTCTTTGCCTTCTGATTTCTGAACCTTTAAAGTTGCCTTGGGTCACATTTCCAAGCATTTATCTGTAACCACAAGGGACAGAAATTTACTTTATAACAAAATGAAAGCTGAGATTCTCACCTAATCACAGGCCTCCATGAGCTGTGGCTTTAAGAAACCCATCAAATGTCATGAGACTTGTGATAAAATTCTGCAAGCTGGTAACATTGTATAGGGATGTCTACAGAGGGAGCTGGAAGTGTAATTTCCAGTGGGGGTAGACATGCACCCACTAGTTTTGACTGAGCTAGCATGAGAAAGCGTAGCCATGGTGGTGTGGGGGGGATGGGCTAGCTCCCCAGGTATGATCGTGCGCAGGACCCTAGGTACATATTCAGGGAGGCTGCTCGTGCCACTGTGGCTACTCTGCCATTTATAGCATGACAGCTTGATCAGAGCTAGTGCAGGTATGTCTACCCCATCTGGAGACAGTAAGGAACAACATCTTATATATTAAAGGGTTCAACAGTGCTAACTAATGGCTTCATGGTGAGGGAAGGGGAGGGGGAGCTGGGATGGTGGAGGTGAGAAGGGGGGCTACATGTTGTGAGAGATGATGGGACAGAGGATGGAGAAGGAGTCAGACTCAGCAGTTTTCTCTCACACTTACAGTCACTGTAAGCACCAGGGAACTGTCAAGATGCTGGGACATGGACTATGTCTCAGATTTCTCACACCAGCCTTGTTAGCAACTACACACTGTAAACCCATCAAAGCACAATCCCATTAGCCCTCATTGCACTGTAACAAAATGTACAGGCAGAGTGAGGAGTGCTGAGGAATGACATAGCAACCGTGTAGCCTAGTAGAGAGACCACTGGACTGGGACTATTCTTGGCTCTGCCAGTGGCCTGTTGGATGACCTTGGGCAAGTCTCTTCACTGCTCCATGCCTCAGTTTCCCATCTGTAAAATGGGTATAATGAATAAAGTTCCTTGAGTTCTACTGATGAAAAGTACTATGTAAAAGTTAGGGCTTTGTGTTATTATCACAGTCATGTATCAGTTGCAAACCTAAGTGAGAACTACAACTGTCTAAATGACCATTAATGTCTACTACAGTAACTCCCCACTTAACGTCCTCTCGCTTAACGTTGTTTCGATCTTACGTCCCTGCTCTATTACAGAACATGCTTGTTTAAAGTTGTGCAATGCTCCGCTATAACGTCGTTTGGCTACCTGCTTTGTCCAGGGCTGGCAGCCCCCCATCAGCTCCCCTACACCCCCCACCTCCAGCCCCTCCCGCCTGCTGGCAGACCCAGCAGATCAGCACCTTCCCCCTGCTCCCCCCACCTCCTGCCTGTGGCAACCAGCTGGTTTGCAGCATTCAGGAGGCAGGAGGGAGGGGGAGCCTGCGCGCCATGTCCTCTCTCCTCCCCCCTGCCTCCTGAACGCAGCAAACCAGATGATTGCCATGGGCAGGAGGCAGGGGAGGGATGGGGGAGGAGCGAGGATGAGGCATGCAAAGTAAAGAAGGGGGGAAGAAGAGGCGGGTTAAAGGTGGGGGCTTGGGGGAAGGGATGGAGTGGGTGGGCCGAGGGTTGAGCCCCCCGCCCCTGGCAAAGTCAGTGCCTGTGCTTGCAAGAACAGCAAGAGGAGCAGGGGGACAATCCACCCTCTTCCACTCTCTGATTCCACCACCTCAACGAAGCTTCATACTCAGCAATGATGACTGTAGTATTAAATTGTTTCTAAAATATGCCTGTATTAAATTGCTTGTTTAAAATTGTTTAAAATGTATATAATGCCTTTTGTGTGGCAAAAAATATTTCCCTGGAACCTAACCCCCCCAATTTACATTAATTCTTATGGGGAAATTGGATTCGCTTAACATCGTTTCTCTTAAAGTCACATTTTTCAGGAACATAACTCTAATATTAAGTGAGGAGTTACTGTACAAGGAGTCCTCTTTCTGTTCAAGAAACTAGGAAAGACACTTACAAAAATCTTTGCTAATGCAGAGTTAAGGTTTCCAGAGGTATCTCAGGTCCTACCAGAAAATTGTTCAGCAAATCTCAGGGTTCTGAACACCAGCAAATGCAAAGTTAAGGTACAGTCCAAAACAACCTTAACTCTGCCCTCTCTGAGAGCTGATCCAATACACCCACTGCACCCAGACCCACACTCTGCCTGAGCAGATAAGGCACATCACTCAGGGATCAGGGCACTTGACAACTATAGTCAGAGCCATCCTGTCCATTGGATGGTTCAAGGCAGTCGCCCCAGGCCCCACGCTTTGGGGGGGCCCCATGCTTTATGGCACGTAGGGGCTGGTGGCAGTGTGACCAGCCCTGCTTAGCTCCACACTGCCTCACCAGCTCCCGGTGTCACTCCAGGGTGGTGCGGGGTTTGGGGGGAAGGGGAGGAATGGGGGCAGGGGAGCGGTTGTCCCGGGCCACGCATCCCCCTAGGGACATCCCTGACTGTAGCACAGAGTCAAAAGCCTTCTCCTTGCTAAGGGAAAACTTGTTTTTAGGGGAGCTGCTCTGAACAGGAGCTACTGACCCTATTCTACACTGAGCTATGGCCCAGGAACAGCCCCACACTTGTTACTTTTTACAACCCTGTCACCCCCTTTAACAGTCCCTTCACCCTCACTCCCAGGATTCCATCTGGCACTATATGTTCCTTACCCATCACTGACCACACAGACAATCCTGGGGCAAGACAGACTCCTGAGCCCTGCTACTGACACAACTACACAGCTCAGTGCTGAAATGGGGGATACTGGCTCCCTCAAGGTACACATGCACCTCTATCCTTTCCTCACATGCCTGGGGGAGCTCTGACCCAGATGACCTCACATCACAGCGACTGCTCCACCAAGCTGCTCCAGCTAATATCTCCACCATTCAGTCCAGCTATACCTAACACAGTGACTGCAGCTGGATGCATGCAGGTAATTCCCAGTGGCTAGTGCGAGCTCTGGGGAGGAGGCAGAGTTAAGGTTGCATTGGCATGTGCTTTAACTCCGTATGTCCTGGTTTTCAGCAGTTTGAGTTTTGCTGAACTCGATGCTCTGGAAGGGCAGGTGAAACCCCCGGTAACCATGGCTCTGCGTCAATGAAGGTTTTTGTCAGTGAATGTACCAGATGGCAGGAGAAGATGGGGCGGCGGGGTGGAGGGGGACACTCTCACACTAGCAGGAAGGGGCAGAGAGGAGGCTGGTGCTACATTAAAGCAAGGACCATAAAGGAAGTGGAAACACTAAATCCAGGAGAGAAATCCAGGCCCCACTGAAGTCAATGGGAGTTTTCACCCAGGGGTTTGGCTGGCAGGAGTCCACCGGACAGTGTTAGGCAGAGGGATATAATATGCTGGGTCTGCCCTGAGCTGTGGGGGTGTCCAGTGGAGGTAACATGGTAACTGCTCTCTGTATGTGCGAGGAGCTGCACTGCAGCAGAACTCTGTGTGAGAACAAGCAGCAAACCCAGCGAGGAGGCTGGAGTTCCTACCTGACACTAGCCTGTGAACCTGGAGAGTGAGGCAGAGAGCAACGTAGCCGGGCAGAGCGGAGCTCACTATAGAGCTGCAGGAGAATGAGGGAACCTTCCCCGTCATCATAGCTGGGTCTGAGCACAGAAGAAACAAACAAAATCAGACGTGCAGTGACTGGCACAAAGGTCACCCCACCCTGGTGTGCAATGCATGGAGTTGGGAAGGGATTCTCCCCATAGCTCTAGTTTGCACTAGCTCCAAGCAGGTTCAAACATCATTGAGGTTAAAATGGCAGCAGTAGCTGGCAGCCCATCTGCACTAGCGCTTGTTCCCTGGAGCTGCACCTGTGCTAAGGTTAATGATTATTCCAGAATAAATCCATATGTAGACACTCTAATTTTGGAGCAAGAATGCCTTGTTTGTGTGTTAGCCCACTTCTGCAGTGCATTGGGTAAACAGGAACAATGCAATTGTCTTCTGGAATAAGAGTGTTGTATAAATGTAGCTGTAATATAGGGTATGTCTACCCTTTCAGTTGACCCAGACTCTGAGACTTACTGCTGCGAGTCTTTTATTGCTGTGTGGATGTACCCATAGGGCCCAAAGAGTCAAAGGTGTTAACATGACCCAGTCACTGTTCAATATTAAACAGTTAAAATGGGCTTGGACTTGGTATACAGAGACCTCAGCCTGCTTAGCACCATGGCAAATGCACCATAACAAATGTTTTCAATCTTTTATTAAAGATATCGAAAAAGAAAAAATAGTTAAAGTATTTGAAATATAAGATATTAAATTAGACTTTCATTTAACAACATCCCTTGTTTCCTTTCCCTTTAGCTGGAAAGAGTTTTTAAAAGGAAAAAGCCTCTTATCTGACAGTCTCTTAGATAGTAATAAATTATGATAATAAAGATGGTAACCTCAAAAACAGCTCTGTGTGTCTCGAAAGCTTGTCTCTCTCACCAACAGAAGTTGATCCAATAAAAGATGTACCTCACCCCACCTGTTTCTAATATCCTGGCATACATGTTATACATGGCTTACATGTTAATAACTGCTTTGTGAGGAAAAGAGAAGAAGTTACTGACATGGGCTGACTCTGTTGTTGCTGTTGTTGATAACGTCCAGTCATATTTGCTAAGAAGACAAAACAAGACAAACACACACAAAAGGGGAAAGACAAGACCACCAAAGATAGAAAATGCAGCTTCTGTCTCTGGCGCTGCCCCTCACTTGCAATTTCACTGCTGGAGAAACACAAGCCCAGCATATGGTGGGACCTGGGCGCTGACATCTGGCAACTTTTTCCCAGCAGCAGGCTGTTTGGGGCTTTGCTTTAACAGGCACACAGCAGTGTTGCAAAATATGCAGTCTTGGCCAGCTAAGTCAGACTCCTCCTGGTCATCCTGGGGATTAGCTCTTTGGCTAGGTCACTTTTCCCCCTTCTGGGGTACAGTCCTCCAATGTCTCTGTCAGTCCCACAGTGATCCAGGCAGTCTTTCCAGTTCATTGCACCAATGATGCCTGTAACAGTCTCCACCCCTATGTTCACTTCTTTCATAGGACTATGATAAATCTTGTATTAAGTATGCCTCGTGAGGTATCATTTGAAAACTAATAATTTGCTGACTATTATTGTCCTGGTAAAATATGCATAGCAACTTTGTAAGTAAAGTTATAAGATTCTACTGTATGATGTTACTAAGACATATTCCAAATGTGGAGAGAGGTCACAAACTGGTTCTCCAACGACAAAAGGCAAGCTAATGCCTCAGTCAGGTATCAACAAAATCAAACAGAGAGAACTTGGGGCGTTTGCTCTCCCTTCCTATACAATTTTTCTCTCTCTTTCCCTTCCTCTCTACCTATGGCATCAACAACACATGAAAAGCAAAGGAAGCAGCACTGGACTGGGGAGAGGGATTCTGACTGAACGGAATTCAGACTGTAAGACTGCTGGAATATGTGGTGAGAGAGACCTTTGCTTTGACTTCACTTAGCTTGTTAAATTATGCTTTAGTTGCATTTTACTTTTATTTTCTTGTAACCAATTCTGACTTTTATGCCTCATTACTTGTAACCACTCCATGCACAGATCAGACCAAATCTGGTCCAAGGATTCTCCCTCTTCAGCTGTCGCTGCCTTGTTCTGTTATCTCAGTGCAGTGACATGGATATTAAAAACACAATGCTGGGCAAAAGCTCTCACACACACCTGGCAGCATTGTCAAGGATCCACAGATTCACAGGGTCTGGTCTATACCCAGCCTGTAACCAGTCTCCTGGCAGTGACCCCTACAGTGTGCCAGGCCCCAAGGACCCACACAGTTCTACTGGGGCAGTCCCATGGCCTCCAAGGCTCCAAGACTGGACCTTTGGGCAGCAGTGATCTCTGTGTCTCTATGTGGCTCCCTGCAGTGAATCCAGTCCAGCCAGACCCCTGCCGGAAGTTTGTACTGGGCCCCTTCAGGGCTCAGATGTCTCAGTGAGTATTTATATTGACACAGGCAGCCTTTGCAAAACAAGAGAACCATTTATTGGTCACCAGGTACGCAGAATCCGAAAGTCTTTGGGTTAGAATAAGAGAGGCAGGGCCAGCTCTAGGCACCAGCCCTCCAAGTATGTGCTTGGGGCAGCACCTGGAGGGGGGTGGCGCTCACCTGGGGAGAGCGGGGCCGCGTCCGGGTTCGCCGCCCTCCCCCGGCGCTCCGGCCGACCGGGAAGAGTGGGGCCGTGGCCAGGCTCTCCACCCTCCTCCCGGTGCTCCGGCCGGCCGGGAAGAGCG